TTCGTCGTTACAATGATGAAATAGCTGACCGACGCGATCGTCATAGGCAATACCTAGTAGAAGCCATTCCTAGTCACCATCGGCTACACTCTAATTAAGTATCGATTCTTTCCCCGTCGCGTTGCTAAAGTCTGTGCGCAGGTATGACCCGCGATAAAACCGAAGCAGAGGTGCCAGTCGCTTGCGATCTGGCGAGGGACAACGTTGACCCGGCTCGACGGTTCTGGGGTCGTCTCGCTCAAAGTGCCGTTGGGTCAGAGGGGTAAGTCTCGTCCTTCGCTCGAGCGACGACAACCTGAAATTGAACCGCGCAGTCTAGGCTCTTCCTACCGAGCTCCAGCTTGTTTGATTGTAGCGATACGCGGAAACAGGTGCGACAACAATTCGTATCCGTGAGCGAGTCGGGCATAATACTAACTGCAACTTCCTCGTTTCGAAGGAAGTCACTTCGTTCAAATCCGGCATCAAGCACCAGAACCTTCGGTTCAAGGCTGTCGTGAGGTAGTCGTAGTCAGTTGAAGCATTATATCCATGTATCAGTGCAACGTAAATCTTCAGAATGATTGGCGAACCGTGTTTCACGCAGAAAATCAAATATTCACCATGATGAAGCACAAAAAAGGTAACAAGCGGTCTACTAATGGATTTGTGAGCGGGCACCGAGCCTCGCGCAAAACAAGCTGGGTGCCACATAAGGTTGCCTCTGAGCGTATCATGGACTAGGTCGTTACTAGAGCTGATTTGCAGCGAGTAAGTACTGAGATCACGATTTTTTTTGGCGTCCCAGACAACTTAGCCTTCGCGACAAACTGAAGTGTCGCTAGCTGCAGGCGGCGCCTTCGTGTATTGGTTAGCGTCGTGCTTGACATCATCGGTGGAGCTTCACCACCTCAGTGTTGTCTATAGACTGCGAGCGGAGGTCTCCTCGTCCTGCTCAAATCACCCCTCATGGATTCGTTGAAGTTCGATGGTTTGCCTGAGTCGCCCTGGCGTCTGGTCAATGACCGTCTCCCTTACTACATCACCACTGCTGCCTCCTGCTCAGACCCTCTTTCGTTCTGATGTCTGGCCATAGCACAAAGACCTAAACATTGAGTTGTGTAGGAGAACTAGGTAGTGCTGTACGATTTCAATGTAACTCGTTAAGTTTTGCGTGAACGCGTACTACACTCAAATTGCGCACGACGCGGAGGGCATGCGTGAGAAACATTGTACAGCGAGCACGATGCTAACGAAAATTTGATATGTATCCGCTGCAAATCAGCTCTACCTCAAGATGGAAAATACACTCTAGGAATCGTTTACGCGAAGAGATAGTTCATTCCGCAGGTACTCCCTGGAATCGGACACTGTTAACATTCCTGAGTCGGGGGGATTGTCTGATTGGTGGCGCAGATGCTGTTTTCATCCTGGCTCTGGAGCTGGTGTACTTAAGGCGCATGCGGAGCGCGTCTACAAGTGGCCAGCAGTCTTGGAACTCATTGAGCAATGGAAGTTGGGAGCTTCCCTGTTGTTATTCGTGATCAGCCTACCGTAGTGTGAAGGTGTATGTTTAACATACGTCGCTTATTGCCTCTGCCAATGCGCGTTTGGACTGAGCGGAATAACATATGGATGGTGAGAGGTGCTTGGTCACCAGGTCCCGTGCCAGTTTCTGCGCAACGTTAAGTCGGTGTTGAAGATGACCGAAGATATAGCTCACCAAAAGCTGGGGGTATAAGGATGGATCCGAGCGTAGCGCGGTTCGCAAAGAATATCCTCCGCGGTCAGGTCGGCCAGCTTCTCCCGCGGGCTTGGGAATGCGCGCTCGGCCGTCGTTCGTGGAGGGGAGGATTGCCGTTGCGAGTTCGGGCATCGGCGCGGCTGCAGCACCGCCCGAATTATCATCACCATCCCCAGGTGAGTCGGGAGCAGCGGATGAACGCCTGGATCCGTGGGTTGAATGGTCACCGGACTTGGGTTCGTCGTAAAAGGTCGGCACGGCGACGGTATAGATCATAGTGGGGGAAGTCAAGGGGCGACTTGGCTTGCTCGGTCTCAGGCACCTCTTATATTGTGACAAGGCAAACATGCGGCATTCGGGAATCAGCGGGCGACGTATATGGTACATGATGAGCATGAGGATAATCGGACTCGCGGAGCGTAAATGTAAACAACTATGGCCCGCGTGCAGCACGGCGTCAGCAGGAAGGACGCTAGATACTGTCGATTCATGCACGCTTAATAGAAATAGCGTGCGAGATAGGAGCTCGGCGAGATGGCGAAACCGCCGTCGCGGCCAACCAGCGTGTCGTAGGGCCAGACGTGCAAAACCTTTCCGTATCCGCACTATGAATGGAGCTATCAAGATAAGGCGATGGATGCGTACCCAGGGGCGTAAATCTGGGAACGTCAGACGCGTGAGATTGAACAGTGCCAGGAGCCCAACGATGGACCAGATGAGAGTCGACGCGCGCGCCAGCATGGAGTTGTCGGTGGTCATAAGCGCGACTTGACCGGGCACTGAAGCCAGTGCATGACCTGCCATTCTGTTTCGCGCGATAGCCTCGGATGGGCGCTGTCGACTCCAGACGGCGATGAAACCTAAGCCCTTATGGACGCCGCTTGCGGCAACGAAAGCGTGCTCAGGTGTTGCGCCCGTCTGACTGATTGTTAGAAGACGTTCTACTGTCGCAAAGCTAATCTACCTCGATGGCCGGCGAGGTGGTAGACTTCAGGCGAAGCTTTGCTTCGAGGCCGCCCGATGTTTTCCGGAAGACGCAGACGACGCCAGGATTGCCCGCGAGGACGATTTCTTCGCCTGCGCCGCCGAATCTGATCTGCCTCGGTGTCGCCGGCGGGAAGCCTTTCTGGTTGGTCACCAGTTCGCGGACGTGATCTATGCTGCCGTGGCGATATTCGTGAAGTCTGAATGCGCCAGCGAGTTCGTTCACCACGAACTCCACTCCGTCTGCAGTCGCCAAGCTTCGAATGTCCGCGGACCCTCTGACGACCTTGGTAAGCGACAGAATATTTAAAAAAATGCCACGTACACAATTGCGGTCACGGAAGAGGAGTGCAGTGAACGTCCTGTCGCTCCCAGAAGCACGCTGGTATGAACGTCAGCGAGCATTTGCAGGATCGGGGTCGTAGACTTACACATCGCCTCGATCTCTGCCAATAACCACAACTTCTTCGCGCCCTGGGGTCGGGAACCCGACCTGGAGCGGTCGTATGTGCGGTTGACATTTGACCGACCACACTGATTGGGGTTGATGGGCTTCCCCCACAGAGAAGAGATGAATGAGGCCGTCGTTCGTACCGACGGCCAACATGGGTCTGTGTGTTGTGGACATACTCCAGTTGAGGCAGGTGACCGCGCGGCCTTCAGACACGGCGCGCTGAAACTGCTCAACCATGAGCGGGACCGATTGGACCCCCTGCGAAGAAGTTGATACTATCGCACAAGCAGCAACGGAGGACACGCACTGCCGGTTCTTTAGACCATATCGTCAGAAAACCTTTGGTCGTGCCGAAGGCTAGCAACGAAGGGGCGTTGGCGGGCGCCCACTTGGCGCAGACGACGGCTCCCCTTGACCAGTACCCAAAATCGATAGGGACAGGTACCGGGCGCATAATGGGAAGGAGCCAGAGGTATACGCCGCTCTTGCCTGGTGTTTATGTTAGTAAGCTTGTCGGGGTATGCGACGGAGTGCGTACCGCATGCTGCCAACATGGTGCAATCCGGAGACATAGCGAGGGCAGATATGCTAGGCTCAGGAGTCGTGACACTCCCGATGCGACGATAATAGGAGCCATAGCCGAAGATTCGCTGGAGAAGCATAGTGGTCGAACGATTGATACCTGAAATGGAGTTTGTGGGGGCTTTTTATCGGAGGGTGTTGTGCTCGGTTTGACTAGTTCATAGAACTCCCACTCGCCTCATGTAGCGCCTCATGGATCAGACGTGGGTGCCTCCCGCGACCTCGAGGTGGGGTTCTCTCACGGAGGGGTGTTTGAGAAGAATGTTCGTGCCCGCGTATCGGAGGGGTGTTTGAGAAGAATGTTCGTGCCCGCGTATTTGATGCGGTCTGTTCATGCCCTGCCTCCCCACTCCTTTGTACCTTGCCATCACCGTGCCCAAGACATGTTGCCGGGACTATCTCCAACCTACTTCCTTGATGCGTGGGTCGCTTTTTTGACGTGTCGGACGGTTAATTGCCTGTCTGACTCCGGGATTGCAGCGACCCTCTGTTGGATGGGCATAGACCAACCGTGGAAATGGGGGAGCTTATGGCCGTACAAGAAGAATTGACAAACTTTGTGGCCAAGGGGTGGATTCCGGTGCAACCGGATCCGGACCACCACGAGTCGACCGTTGAAGTCGCCTTCGTGTATACGGACCACGCATTCCATATATGTAGGCTCCCTGCATTTCCTGCACATCTGACACTTATGCTGTCGGATAGGTCTTCAATTCACTCTGCGCAGGTTCGCCTCAGGCCCAGATATCGATCGCGACACGTACCCGTACAGTATCCAGTATCGGCCGCACGCCGTGCATCATATCGTCGATGGCGTTGCTCATGCCCTAGATATCAACATCGTCCAGCCTTACCACAAAGATGTCTGCTGCGCCATCGACGTTGATGCAGATGGTGCTATCTTGTTTGCAGACATTCAACGTGCTGTGTCGGCTGCAGGGCAATCCCTCGGTCTGCGGCGATCTGTTGGCTTCGACTTTGAACGAGACACCATACCTGAAGAGGCTATTTGTCCGAGGATTAGCGAGAAGAATGCGCGTGGCAGCCGCCGTCTCCGATCGTCCACCCGAGATAGCGTTCGCGCCTCCGATCCGGTGCAGAAGAGCAGGATGGAGGAGAAGGAAGCACTTGTGTGGGAGCGCGATATGGAAGCGGGCTATGGGATGTGGTGGGGACTGTTGAGACGCGACAGTGAGGTGCCACCTCCTTTTGTAGCCGCTGCCGCGGCCCAGTTCAAGTATTTCGGGGCTACGCTGATGAAGCGTGAACACGTTGGGGAGGACGCAGATTATCGGGCTGCGGGGCTGAAGCGCAACGTTGAGCGCTACTTCGTCTCGCTGCGCTATGGGAGATTGCGTAAGTTCCCCCGCCTCTTACCTGGCTATATTTCTTGGTTGTGACAAATATTTGTAGGCTATGATTTCCGGATCTTATTCCACGGGCAGTACTCCTCTGAGACTGCGAGCGTACGGGAGAGGATGCATTACGAGCCGGGCAGCCTCCACGATGCCCTGGACCGAGTACCACTTCCCTTTCCTCCCGAGTGGCCTTTTGCCGCAAGGTTGTGTCTGCCGCGAAGGCGAGGAATGCGCTTTCTTCTGGCAGAGCTCCGCCGCAGTCTTTCGTGGATGGCAACTTTACCTCGTCAGATCACCACGCTGCATTTTCACTCCAGCTTCCCCACTGCAATGCATCTGTCAACAGCGACGGAGTACGTAGATTGCAGGCATGACTACTACAAGTGACAGGAAAGTCCTCCCGTTAGCTATTTACCGTCCTTGTGTTTGGACGCAATACATCTCATTGTGCTACCGTATCGGCGATTCGCTTGCGGTTAATCCTGCGTGTCTTGTTAGCCTTTGTTTGCGTGTTGAACCGTAAGGATGCCAATACCTTGTGCAGAGGAAGAATTGCCGATAATTCCTCAGTTACTTTCCATCGCGCATAGTGTCCTACGATATCACTGGGATTGATGATAGTTGGCTGTTCGGCCCACGTGTTGGATAACATGCGCGCGGGGAAATCTCGATACAAAGCGTAGATGTTGTCCTCGCGCTTGGGAATAGGCAGTTGCCTTTTCACTGCGCATTTCCAAGCGCCTTCGGGAGAACAGAAAATGACCTGGATGGAGCCGCACAACGTTGCCTCGCCGTCCCTGTACATGACGAGGCTGTTGCCGATATGGGTTTCGGCTCTTGAGTAGACAAACTCGCCCAGCGTCAAATGCGCTTTTGTGGGAGCGCAGTTGAAGTCCAGTGCAATGGCTATCTCGAATGGCAGTTCCATGTTCGTTCGGCGTGCTTCCTTTTGCGCATTAGCAGGAACGGTGTTCTCGTGAACATCTTGGTTGAACAGGCTGCTGTGTTTCCTGTAGGCCTTGTCGTACAGCGCTTTGCATTCTTTGATGGCCTGAGGACAGTCCGGTCGAGACAACCAATGCCGTGTTTTGCATCCTAGAATGAACGCCTGAGTGATTGTCTGCTCTGCTTCCACTGTACTTTTGTGTCAGCGCCGCAACGTGATTCAATTGATAGTGCGTTCTCACGTTTGGTATGGTTGTGAGGCAGGCGCTCCAGATGTCCGATAAGCCGCTCGAATGAATAGCACCACCAATACGCGACGGGGCCAAACAGCTGTATGAAGTCCCATACGTGGAACGCGGCATGACAATTTGGCTTGGCTTTTACGTTGGCCCATATGCGTTGGACGGCGTGGTACCACGCTTTGAGATGCTCCCGGTAGCCATCTGCATCGCCTTGCGATTGAACACGCTTGTTCATAAGGTATAGCGCGGCCACCAGGTGCATTGTGGTTTCTAAGATATCCGTGTACGCGTCCTGTAAGTCCGGATCTGCATTGATGCGCTCCATTCTGGTGGACGGGTCCGCGTTTCTCGACCATAGGCTAATCAGGGCAAACGGAATATAGAGGGTGTACAGGTTGCGCCACTCGGAGCTTTTGATTGCGCCGACACCTTTCTCTCCGAATCGAGCTGGCGGTTTCTGAAACCACGACGGGACGTCCGTTTGCGCAATGACTTGTCGGATGCGAGCCTTGACGTTGTCTGTCCCCGTGGGGGGTGGCCTGGGCGGTAACTCCATGGTCCGTTGTGATCGCTGTGAAGGCGGTTAGTGTCAATGATCCCCGTCTCATGGTGTGCTCACCCATAGTATCAGACCGTTCGCGAGATGCTGGGCGGTTACCCTACCTCCGGGGTATCTGACGGGCCCCTCAGATGCCCTCCACGGTTGGTTTGCGACGGCCTGCGCGCTGACGTCCCTTGCAACGAACTGAAGCGCGTCGACGGACTTGCGGGCGATAGCTTTGCACCGTTCGTCTAGGAACTTTTCCCTGGCGCCCGCTCCCATTGCCGTTGTGCCTTGTTGGAGCGTCATATGAATGGCGTGGATATCCTTCAGTAGTTTTGTAGCGCTATCCCTGGGTGCGGATGCACCATCCAAAGCGTCTTCTGGTGGCGCAAAGTCAAATCCCAAATCCACCAAGTTGACAAGCTTGGGCGCATCCTCTGTCAGGTTCAAGATTTGACCGGACATGAAATCCGCGAGGTTTTTTGCGGCATGCATGGGGTCGACGACCACTTGGCGGGCAGGATTCCAGTAAGGAAGTTTGTACATGACGCTGTCGCGGAAGCCGGTTTCCTTAAACACCTTTCGTCTCCCCGCTTCCGTTGTTTCCGCTCTCCACCTGGCGGCGCATTCCTTGATAACGTCCAGACCCAGTGGCCTCCATTCCTCGTAGTCGTATCTCCTGTGGGTGTTACTACCCACGCAGTCACATATCCCGCCGCAGCGATGCGCAGTGTGATCTTGTGTGCCCGCGACCTTGACACGCGCCTTGAGATCAGCTGCCACATATACGCATGCGAACAAGACCTGTCGTCCGGTGGGGTAGTTGGCCGTCCTGCTGAGCTGAATACCCGTTTCCCATCCTCGGACGAAGACATCAACGATCAAGCGCAGGTAGTTGTCAATAACGTCCTGGCCGGGTTCGCCCTTATACGGTGGAATCAACATGGATATATGCATGTTGTCGTGAAGGTTCTGTAGCTCGATGGGCAGAGACACACATTTCAGGCTGATGATGCCCCAAGTGGCGGACTCGCCACCGACCGTGTTTCGTTCGAGATTAAACCCGTCATAAAACAATGCGAAGAGCACCCGTGCCTCCGATCCATGGCGGCGCAAGAATAGGGACTCTCCATCCGGACCGTTGAACGTCCTCAGAAACTCCCCATGGTAGACATGAGACCATTGCTGCTTTCGCGGCGTCGATGCGGCATGACATGCATCGTCTGCGAATTTATCGATTGCCGTCTCGAAGTCTGCTCTCGAGAACAGCATGGCTAGATATTCTTCGAATCTCCAAAATATCATCGGTCTCTGGGGCTCGGTTCCTCCGCGCTTGCTGGCTCGAAGCAACGGTTGATCGCAAGGCGGAGCGGCGGGTACGCGACGATGGGAACAATGGGACGGATACGCTTGGAAGGCATCCGGGGCGTATGTTTGTTGGCACCTTGGGTCAGGGCATATCGCGATAACCGTCGACGGCGAGGTGAGATGGAAGTGGTTGAGGACAGTTTCTATAGTCTTCGGTACATCCGCGAGAATCGCCTCCTGCACCGACTTATCACCTCCGACCTCGTCGCAATTGATCCTCAGAATCAATGGCAGCAAATTCAGTATCAGATTGCAAAGTCTCAGACCGGCGTTTGCGAAAACATGTCCCGCTATAGCTGCGAAGAGCATCACCTGGACCACCGGCCTGCGTGAGTTGAGTTCGTGATGGAACATGTGCTCTTGCCCACTCCATTAATACGGTCGCCGAGTATTTTTAACAATTCTTGGATGCTCACCTGTATCGTAAGTTTCAGGGGGCGGGAGCGTACTCGCGGAGGCCGAAGGGGGCGGGAGCGTACTCGCGGAGGCCGAAGATGATGCCCCTGCGGTTTGGTCGTCCATTTCGACGTCCTCTTTTGCAACGCGGTACGTGTTCAGATCTCGTAGGAGTTTCGAGTATGCCTTCTCGGCCAACCCCCGCAGTTGTTTGATTTTTGGCCCCCCTCTTTTGATCTTCATATTATCGAGCTTCTTTCGCGTGTGCAGCAGATCTTCCCGGAAGCGACGAAGCTCTTTGGGGCCCACGTCTGAACGAGCGCGAAGGCGATCGTTGATCCTTTCAATTTCTGTGGATATGGCTGCGAAACCCGCTTGTGCTCGCTTCTCGGACGTGCCCTTCATGCGGTTCTTCACTGCATCTGGGGTGATCTGCGACGTCCTGGCGCCAGGCGCCATTGGTGCGGCGGCTCTAGACAGCGACGCTGTCAGTTCGGCGACTGATGGTCCAGGAACTTCCACCTCCGACGGCAGATACTCTTCAACCTCGTCACCGAGCAGTCCATCCAAGGCTGCCCGTGCAGCAATGGTCTCGATAAGCAGCTCATCCTCAAGGTCATGGTCGGCCGTGCGCTGGGGTGAATCGTCGTCCATGTGCGGGCTGGACAATCTCGGTCAGGTAGATCTCTGGTTGCTTGCCTTCGCGCTGCTTGCGTGCGCAAGTACGCAATACCGCCTGCCTTGCGTGCACGCCCACTTTTATGCTCTAACTAGGCAACTCGCCCACATGTGCCCACCTCGTGCTGTTTGATCAAATCTTCATTCGATCGTGGGATAGCACGAGGTGTGCGAAGCAAGCGCGGCGGATCCTTCTTACCTCCTACCTCCACGACCATATTCTTATCGCGAGAGAACCATCGATCAGATGTCTACCAGCTCGGCACCACACCTGTCCAAGAAGACCGAGGCACGTAGACCGCTCGGATACCCGCTATCATGGCGGACGCTAGCGGAGTTGCCCTTCACGTTGGAGGCAGCACGCAGGGACCTCGAGGCCGCGAGCGCGGGCGACGTTGCAAAGTTTGCGATGCTGGAAGCGTTGATCGACATGTCTCGATATTTTCAAGGCCCGGAACAATCGGAAGCCATACGGTGGCTCTCCAAGAAGGCCAAGAGGCTCATCATCCCGCAAGAGCGTGCGTCGACAGAACTTGCGATGGAGCGGGAACGATGGCGCACGGTGAGGGACGAGGCAAGGCGCGAGGTGGCCAAGATGCGCCTGATCCCTCCCGAGCTGTTCATTGCGACGGAAGAAAGTCCTGGACCATCTCAATCGCTGGTGGAGCAGCATGCGAAGCAGCGTGCTAGAGCACGTCGTGCCAAACACCGGAACCGGAAGTCCTGTGCAACACCAGTACGTGTGTGTTGCTTGCATTGATCTCCGCTGACGTGTTTGCAGGACAATAGTGGGGGAACGTCCACCGTGGTTGAGGCGGACGAGCAGGGAGATAGCGTCATGGTAAGACAAACACATGAGTCGTTTGTATCATCTAACGATCAACGGTCAGGAGGAGGAGGCTGCAAGCTCGTCAACGACGGTAACCGTGCCCGTTGTTGAGATATCTCCAGTCTTTGAGAGTCCCACCGCGCTGCATGACTCGGCGGGCTCAGGGCACTTTGAACCTGTGATCCCCGCAGACGGGTTGAAAGATGTGGTACAGGACAACACCGACAACACCTCTAACAGTGACATGGGATTTGTTAATCCGCCTGTGTCGCAGACCGCCGTCGTGCAACCTGCACCCCCCCTCACGCCTCTCGCGCGATCATCAGTCGTCGGTCTGTCTGGGGAACGGGATGATATGGACGTGGACGGACACTCCGGTGTAGAGGTTATCGTGGAAGACGCGCCCTTGGGCCCTCCGGTGTCTGTTCAGAGCTCTCCGGCAGCACTCCAGCAGGAGCTTCTTCAGTCCCTGGCAACGCTTAAACCGTCTCAGGATTATGTCCTTCCCGATCCTATTATGCCTGCTCCGGACAGGCCGTATCTCTTCTTCGACGAGGCGGACAGCCTTTTCTTTCACGGCGCTAAGAGGATTAAGAAGTCGTCAGAGCTCCTCGAGCTCGCGTCAAAAAGGACACTCAACTTGTTCGCCCTCGACGCGTACACCATGGATCATCACTTCGGTCCTTTCACGGATGTACCCATCTACGAGGTTCTCATCTACCTCGATGCCGTTCTCCCCCGGTCCGCAGGCCAAGGAGGAGTTGACTGGCCAAACGCCCCGCCTTTCTGGCAAATGCAACTTCTCTTCCTTTTCTATATGCTTTTCCCAGACCTCTATGAGACCGTCAAGCTCATACGCATTCGACAAAAGCCATCTCTGGTTCAGAGAATCGCGGCTGCAGAGGCATACCGCGCACCCCCTCGATTACCCATTCGGCTGAAACCCGAACAATATACGCTACACTACGCAGGCACTGCCCTTCTCGACGGGAGTTGCTTCACGGACTACATGCTCGACAGAGGAATCAGCAGAGCGGAATTGCGACGGTTTTCGAGCGCAGCGCGGGTGCTGGTGCTCTTCATGGTGAAAAAAATCGTCCACGTCAATTTCATGTCCGACGAACACCTTCGAAGGTTGGAAGAGCTGCTTTGCAGAGGAACGGCGTTTGATCCTCGCAATCCCAAGGATTGGCATAACTACGCGGTCAGGGAGCTACGAGCTGTAGGGATGTTCACGAAGTTGTGGGATGGTAATTATTGCCCTGGCGCCGATCCCATGGCCCCTTTCCTACCCTATGTTGTATAAGTATTAACCCTTGCTTGTTTATCATAATTGTCATTGTCACACCCACTCCACATACTCCATAGACGAATAATCATTGACATATAATGGAGTTGATCCCGAACAAAATGCTGTTGTGCGACGGCGATGTCTACTCGATTGACCCTACTCGACTGACGGGAGGGCCAAGTTAACCACCCCACTCAAACTTCACACCGTGCAAGCTCCACCACTAAGGTTGCAATAGCGTCAGCCGCGTCTAAGGAGCTGTGCCCTGCGTTCCATTGCGAGATCGAGCAAGAACGCAGGGAAGCTCCCAATGCATGGTGTAAGCCAAGTGCGGATGAACCCACGACGGTCGCAGGTCGGCATGAGGCAAATGAATCCGATGGCATCCTGTAGAGGTATGAGCAGTGTGATGAACCTGAACGGAATTACTTGCCAGGTTTTGAACACCAAGCGCAGACAACACGGTGGCGGTTATTTTGCGGGAGCCATCCAAGCCATGGATCTCGTTAAGAAAGAACATCAAGTCTTCGTTGTACTTCTCGTATTCGATGCAATTCCGCATAGAGGGCTGCAACGCGTCGGCGGTAGGTTCCACGTTTTCCAAGTCCATTTGCATCCGTGCCGTGCCCCAATTGCTGAGATGGACTTCGAGCAGAGCGGACATGAATGGGGTAATGACAGGAGCCAAATATTCCATGAGCCATCGTTGGCGCTGAATTCGGGGGAGAGTGCACAGGACGTCGAGTCGGTGCTGCAGTGTATGGTAAACCGAGAGAATTCCGGGAGAAGGTGCCATCATCTCACCAGGGTGTCGATGCCATGTGTCGCAAATATGACGGATATCGTCGCCCTCTCCTTATGGCCGAGGTCGGAGAGCCCTCGAACAAACTCCAGTACGGCGGGATCAAGATGGTCAGGCCTTGGCATCTCGGCGCAGAGTCGCAGGAGTGAGAAAAGACAGAAAATGACTAGGCAAAGTCGCGGAGCGTCTTACTTAAATGATACCATCTTTGAGCGAGTACGTAACAATGCGTCAGGTAGTGGTAAATGGACGTGAATCCGCTTGCAAATAAACGTAGATTTGGTCGACCACGCGGTAGATAGTCTGCCTCATGCCATTACCGTTATTCGCTTCAAACGTAAAGACCCTCACCGTCAAACGCGCTAGCTGCACGAACCCAGCAGAGGCATAGGTTAGTCGGATGACGAAATGTTCACAGGAGCCAGAAGTTGTCGATAACGATACTGGCGAGAGGTCAATAATGACTGACACTGGTTCGCTATTTGGAACAATGGGATTGCATCTACACTAAGAACCACGTAGACAATGGCATGGGTGCACAAAGAACCATCAATGAATGAATGACAGAAATGATCGACCGCACAATGGCGGGAAATCAGAATAAATAATCCCAGCAGGCGCGAAAGTTGTTTATTCAATAATGGCCCGCAGGTCCCAATCTCACCCGAACATCAGGGACGATACCACCGATCCCGTGCTCCCTCGAGCTTCCTTGTCACGAGTAGTCACCTTGACAACCGAGACCGCAATCATCCAATCAGATAGGCGAGCCGCGGCAATGCCCGCTCACAACATTGACGCCGGCAGCCTTCCATCCAACGACCGCAAGGCGATCACCGCAACGGAAGCAGTGCAAGCCACCAATACCGCGCCCGCGCCCACCACTGAGCACAAACTATGTAAGTGCTCATCCGTGAGCAGCGACATACGCGTTACTAATGCAAGGTTGCAGATCCTGGTCATTGCGAGGCTAGGGTGATACACCCAAATCGCTGGCAGCTGGCAAGAAATGCTCATGTGGAGAATGAAAGAATGGCAGCGAGCGCGAAGCCTCTCTCCTTCGGTGTTGGGGACTATGTGCAGCTTCAGGACGGCTTCGGACGGTTCCTGTTGCGCGGTACTATCTCCGGGTTCGCCGGATATAGCAAGCAGTTCGTCGTATTCCAGGTGGATGGACGCACCGAGGCATATGGGATTACTGGGGTTGCCGAACCGCGTCTCGCCGTGAATCAATTTGTTGTTCCTAGGGAACGCGCCCGTGGGGCGCCCTTGTGGAGTGTCAATGAGTGGGCGGTGGACTCGGCGCGGAAGCTGCTACGCAGGAAGGGACCGTTGTGGATGGGAGATATGCTCGATCGCAGGAGTCGTATGGAGGACGATGTGCCGTTAAAGTGATAGATATCATCGATATGCTTGGATTAGTTTATGTACAGGGTTCGTAACAGCAGCGTGTGGATAATGCAAATTTAAACCTGCACATTCATTCAATGAACACAAGCTCCTTCCACTCTCTCTCGGACGGCGAAGCTTTGGCGCGGAGCAGGGACCTGAGGAACATGGGAAGCATTGCGTACCACTCTCGGTCGTAGAAGCTCTCGGGGAGGCCAACTACAGGGTTTCGAGTAGACATTTTCCTTGTCTCCGGAGGGTCTCTGATACGCTGCGCTCGCACC